GTGAGCCCTGACTGAACTCTGCAGAAAATCCACATCGAACTTCGCATCGCGATGTAAAACAAAATGTCGGAAAACTTTTCTTTGACGCATGCGCATTTGCATAAATGTCTACACACATACGCACACACATACTACTGTCTCTTATACACATCTAGATGTGTATAAGAGACAGTATATATATTGGGACAGCAGCATAAACGTCTCTTACGTTGAAGATGCTCTAATGGGTGTATTTTTTTTAAGGTGTTGCCATAATAATATGTTTAAATTATTATTTATGTTAGCCAATATTTATTACGCTTTATTATATTTGCAGGTGGTTTCTACCAAGACAATCGTGGATATGTCGAAAATGGTAATTACACAACCGATTGTAAACGATGTATAAATGGAACATTTTCACCACGTCCTGGAGGTACCTCAATATTCGCTTGTCAGTCATGTCCACCGGGAACCAATACAGATGAAATGGCAGAACTTGATGCATGTCCATGTCTAAATAACTTCTATCGCACTTACCGTTACGGCGCATGTAAGTCGTGCCCTGAAGGCGTCGACTGCACCGGTGGTTACCAAACATTGAGCAAGGGCTACGGGTGGTCGTGGAATTTTACACGTTATCCCAATCGTTTAGATGAGTACAGACGATTTGTCCATAACTTTACTACTTCCAATTTCAATCTTTCTGAACCTAATACTTTAAACGACACAGTGTACACTGGAGATTTCCCGGTGGCCCACAAGTGTCCACGAAGTGAGAGTTGCCTTGGTGGAATCGAAGCAAAGTGCTCGGAAGGTTATTCTGTTAATGTTTGGCTATGTGCTGAGTGTAGTGACCATTATTACGAATTATTCGACAAGTGTTACGAATGTCAGGATAAACAAATAATAATAATTGTTATGATATTGGTAATTTTTCTGCTCTTATGTGTTTCGTACTTCGTGTGGAGACTGGATAAAAGAAGAGGCGAGACAATACGCAACGACTCTTTCGTGATTCATCTCAAAATTGCCATCAATTTCTATCAGGTGCTGGGCATTCTGTCTGAAGTTAATGAAATACATTGGCCAGATTCGTTTAAATCTGTTGGAGAGAGTGTCCAATATCTCGATGTAATACGTTATGTCAATATTCTTAGCCCAAGGTGTATTTTTCCTGGAGTTTGGAATGCTTATACATTTTTGTATATTGCCATTGCAACACCATTCACTATTATTGTGTCAACATCTATCATCTTCCTCATCTGGCATCTTTACAAAAGAAACAAAGAGGATCACTCTGTGCATCGCTTAACAGACACATTCTTGGCGATTACAATGATGTTGCTGTATTTAACCTATGCCAACACTTGCTTAAACATATTGGCGGTCGGACCGTGGTCAGTTCGTACGTTTAATGTTACAGAGGATGGTGATAAAAAACGAGTGTTAACTTCTGACTACTCTATCGATATCGATGAATCTAATGGTTCAAAATACGAGACTAACAAGAACATCGTTTATGGATCGTTGGTGTATGTTATTGGTTTTCCACTTGCTATTATTCTGATATTGTACCGTATGTACAAACGTCATGGTGAACGATCTGGTACCATGGGAATGAGGATCTTCTGCAAGCAATATAGTTCCAAGTTTTGGTACTGGGAGGTAATTGATATGTACAACAAGGCTATACTCGCCCTCATCGCTAACTTCAAGGACGACCAGCCCTCCAACATGTCATATTCCCTCTTCATCACGGTCATCCTCATCTGTCTCTTATACACATCTAGATGTGTATAAGAGACAGCACGTGGACTCCTCCTTGTCTTCATTATCGTCAACTTGTCGGTTGGCGCAATTGTTGACATGGAAAAGTCCGGAGGACATTGGTTGTACACCACAGATGACACAATATCTGTGCTCCATGACATCACACCTTTCATCCTTTTGCTGCTCAATCTCTCAATTCTGTTTGTAGTTTTTGGTAAGTTTTAATTTTCTTGAAAATTTTCATTAGTACTTAAATTTATTTTTTTTTTACAAAACCAAGTGAATTAACATCATTAGTTATCTAATGATAATAAAATCAATCATTTTCTTTGTTTGATAATTAAAGTTGATCCTGTCTCTTATACACATCTAGATGCAAGGATATCTTCTGGGGAAAACCGGCTAGTTTACAGGAACTCAGAAATGTTGCACATGACGTGGAAGACAACGAGGATGATCGGGATGAACTTTCTCCAATAGTTCAAGATTTGGACAGCTTATCAACCTACAATCCCACAATTAATAACTAGTAGTTGTAAAAAAGCATATCAACGTTATTATCGTTTACCATACAATTTAGTAATTATATGGTAATGGACTTCCACTTCAATAGCACATAATACAATACAGTGCAATGTCTATATGCGCTCTTTACCCAGTGTCAAGACAAGACAAAGAATACTACATAAAACAGGAACAGAGAAAATTAGAATTGTAAAAACAGATGAGATTTAACTCGGGACTAAAGATGAAGATGATTTTATGAAATGGAGTAGGTCGTTTTTTTTTTATAATAATAAACTATAGAAATACATTATAATACATGTATACAGCCCCTATTTGATTTAATAGCGATATCGTTTTAACGATTTAAAGACACGTGGTTAGGTACCGCGAGCAACTTCATTTTTCTCTACAAATTAATGTTATCATATCTCTCTTTTAACCTAAAACTCGAAGAATCGTTTTTTACCTAAAACCACAAAGAACCGTTCTTAAAAAGTACGGTTCTTAAGAACGCGATTTTCTCTTCTGTAGAAAAAGTCCAATACACGTCATTGTTTGTTGCAGCAAGTTTTGTCCATGTAACAGTCGGAATGTTCAGAACGTACTGTTTATGGTTTCAATCTCAATAATCAATTAATTTAGTAAATATACACTTGCGTGTCGTTTGTTGATGACGATTGACCTTGATACGGGCATGCGCAGCTAGAACTACGAATTTGCTTATTGAAAATTGGGACAATAAATTTCTATATATTATTTGGATCATGACTCTTAAATTTGCTTTTAAATTATTTATGGATTTTCCTGTTAGATTAGCAATTGCGTTAGTTAATTTTTGACATCATTCGATAAGTAGGTAATAGAAATCTGACTCTCAGTGAAACATTGCTCTTTAAGATAAAGGTACCTTATCAGTTATACGAAAATACTACTATTTGTATTGTATATATTACATGTTCTGAATAAGGAAATGTTCTATTGACAGGTTATGTCAAATACGATGTTTATACTTTTCTTTAATTTGGAAAATACTTCTACCATAATTTGATAATTTAGACGGGGCATATCTAAAAAAAATTGACATGAAAGCCTAATACGATCTTTATTGTTATTTTGTTTGATCACCAAGAATAATGATAAAATACATTGTTTAAAATAAAATATTGTTGGTATTTTTCTCAACATAAATTAGTGTACATATTTAAACGTATGATAGACATATCGCTAGAGTTAGCATTCCTGTATAAGGTTCTATCTTAGCTATAATTAAGCCAAGTAAATATTATTAACGCTTTTTTAACTAAAATGTAATTAAAGGTAATTAAAGTAGCTTCATTTGATTATTGGATATTGCGTTTGTTTGAAAAATGTGCTTATCTTCATTTTGTTGGTATTTACCAATAATCTATTCATTGACTTATATGCCTACTAGACTAAAATAATGTATCATCTTGCTTGAAGTTGTTTGTTATATCAGGGACTTACGTCTTTGGTAATATTGTACAACAGTATATCGGCTATGACATTGTGCTTTAGATTTTAGCTGCAAATTAAGTGTATGGAAATTTGTTTTTGTACTTAGTCATACATGCTGTTATGACTACTGTTAACTGTTTTTATTTTTTAATTAATGTTTCAATGAAACAAAAAAAAAACATGAATTTACGCAATTCATGTTAAAAGAAGAAGACATTACTACAAGGGAAAATTTAATAAGTATGATAACTAAGCAATAATACTATATCAACTATTCAAGCCTCATTCCAATTTGCAATTTCCAGCAAAAATGCATACGCGTTATTCTACTTATTATAAACCAGGTCATTTATTGGCATAATTTTTGTTTGACGCTAAAGGAGAATTAAAAAAGAGAAACAGAGACTCTATTTCTCATATTTGTTGCATGCATGATTAATGATCTCACGCCCTCTGGTAGCTCGATCCCGCATTGTATGCTGGGACGACAAGATGGCGATATGCTTTGTGCAACACGAGTTAATAAAGTGTGTTAATGGAAACTCCAATATTAACTATCCTGAGTATTGTATTACGTCTTTAACTCTAGAAGTTACAACATAAAACATGGTATCCAGAAGTGCCGGATTTGGATTTCATCGTGCTCCATTTCAGTGATAAACTCGGACTTTGTGTATGCCTAGCGTTCGGAAACTTGTGACTGTACGTTATAGCGTTGATCGTCAAGCGTCCCTGCGATTGAGTCATTGATGTGCTGTGGATCGCGGTAAAGTCATATTACACAGTGTAGTGGGAATCTTAGCCCTTGTAGTGAGTGTAATATAGTATAAGCTTGGAGTATATTTGTAAAATAGTTGATAAGCTTAAACACAAGTCTAAATCTAGTATTTTTTTAAGGTCATTATTAGTCATATAACTAGTTTAGATATATAATAGAGAAATCAACATGCTTGTTGGTGATGAAAATGAGCAACCTCCACCAGATG